TATTTATAACATGATATTTGTGTCAGATAGTCATATGGTAATGGATGTGACGAAGAATCTGTCTCATAGATATGTAAATCGCGTGTTAGATACATGTTTCAATGCTTTTATAGAAATAGATGTGAATACTGATTTCGTTGAAAATGTCAACGTACTGATAAGATTTTTCAATATTATTAACCCTACAATGATTATGAGTACCTTGACGTTATTAATTCCAAATGTAATAACGCTTTTATATATTTATTCGATAAATCATAACTAGTTTCGATGTTTATTTCAAATGTAATTGAATGAAAGAAAAAACATTTGATTGCTTCGCTTTAAGTCGACGTCAAGAACGAATGCAATACGGTATATTTACTCGATTTTCAGATATCGTTTCCTGCTTTCTATTAAAGTGGATGACGCGAAAGATTCTTCATTCGATATACCTGACACGCTCGAAATCGTTGAGTATTTAACGCGCGTTGACAATGCAAGTACGTCAAGCAAGCCAAGAAATACGTTTATATACCTATAGTATACATATATATATAATAAAGATGTACTCACACGTATATAAATACATACATACGTACGTACGTAGGATGTAGGAAGTCGAGTTTCCATCTCATCGGGGCGAGTAACGTTCTCTTTCTCGTTCTTAATAAATACACGGTTCTCTTTTCAGTCAATGCCAGAGAAAGACAACGAAGAACGTTCTTTCCGAGAAATTGCATTGAACGCGAGGATGCCTTGTCGTATTTCTTTTCTTACTCTCCCGTGCAATAATACGACGATCTTGCGTCCACGACGTGGAATGGATCGTCGTGACTATGGCAATGTCACCCACCCAGTCCCACCACAATTTCTCCGTTGGTGTCATTACATCGCGTGTCGCGAGAGAACGAACGAACGAAGATGGAGAAGCAAAGAAGAGACAAAGTCTCGTGCAATTTTCTTTTCTACGCGTATCGTTAAATGCACCTCGTTTTGTTTCGAACGTACATACATCTACATCACCCACCTCTGTAGTATACGTTCAAATACTACTTTTTACGTGTATTTATCAATGTATGTATGTCGATGTATATATGTCTATGTATATGTGTATCGTACATTTGTGTGTTATCTATATTTAATACGTAGAATGAGTCATGGAAACTTATAAGAGCTTGTATCTCGATCGCTGGTTCTCTTTCGATGAACCCCCATCTCGTACTCGTAGCACCTAATTAGTGTACCTTAGCAGGCTTCAACCTTAAATATAATGGAATATGATGTATCCTTCGTATTGGGTATTGTTTAAGGAAGAGGCCTTAAGTGCTTATGCTTCTCTTTAAACTGATGCACGTATACATTTTCTTTACTTTATTTATATTTTTTTTTTTTTTTTAATTATCGTTAATAAGCGAGAGTTTCAAGATATTCATTTTATTTGAGTTTTCTTTCATATGCACTCGACCAGTAACTTTAGAGTATCGTATTGAAATTATAAATTGGTATTGTTTGGGGTAGATATTTTTAGTTAAATGTTGAAACAATTATAAGAATAATCATTAACCAAATTGTAAGATACATAAATACTGTAATATTAGAAAAAGAAAAGAAAAGAAAAGGAAGTAAGAAATAACACTTTTACACAGCAATTTTCTTTCATCGTCTTTCTAAGTTTCTCGATCTCAAGTATGAAAGAAAAAATCTCTGTTTTTCTTCGGACTCGTGAACATCTCCGAAAGTACTACGACGAAGAGACTGCGATCACGAAATAAAATATCCTTGTCGAGTTCAGAAGTTCTTCAGACGACTAATGGAAGTAACATCAAGAGATTCTAACCACTTCTTTCGTTTCCATAAACTATATTTATTAGAACAAAATAGTACATTTAATCAATCATATTTTTAAATCAAAAATATGAATCGAAAAATAAAATATGATATAATTATATTATTTGGAAATCATTAACGAGCCATTTATACAGTTTTTGTTTTTTCGAACGGGTCACCCATCCATTTTATTATTCGTTATTTTATTTTATTAATCACGTTGCTTGACTTTAGTGATCTGACGGAAACTAATAATTCAACTATGGCTATGTCGTTGATTAATAAGAATATATATGTATATATATCCATACATAATTTTGATATTTATACCCAATGATGTATACTTATATACATTTTATTTTCGGTCAGTATGTATTTCTTTTCGTCCGTATATCTTACATTCAGTATTTAGGATGTTTCTTTTCGTTACTCTTGTAGAAAAACCGAACTTCGTTTCACAATAACATCGAGCAGACAATTTCCGTAACGAAACCCGTTTAAACGTGCCATGACTGCACACTATACATCGCAGTCTCAAGACGTGTGTTTATACGTATATATGTGTGGGTATATATGTATGTATTATCTTACCGGAGAAAGACGAATACCTAGCATCGTATACGAAACACAAAGAAGGATGAGAAGATACGAAGAACGAAGTCAGCTTTTTTCGAGCACCCGTGTAAACTGAGAAAAGCAAGCATCTTGTACTGTTCGGAGGATTCTTGTCGCACACGATTGTTCATCTTACCTTCTTTCGCATAGCTTTCTTGTGGATCTGCTAAAAATGTCAAATTAAATTTAAGAGCTAAGCTTCCAGCCAAAATACACTAAATTTATCCTTAATAACGGCACTTATTTTTATGCTTCATCTAATTCTATTTTTATTTACGTATATGCAGATATTTGTTATTTTTTTTTTCATTTTATTAACACAAAATTTATTGTTACTTTCATATCTGAATGATTTTTATAATTTTTTAAATATAAATTAGATTTTTATACGTTTTTTTTATATCATTTGCGTTTGTACCGCAACAAAAATGATGTTGGTAGAAGAAATTAAGTCGGTAACTTTGCAATATTATTTAATTTCTTGTGATTTATTTTCACTTATGATAGAAAATTAGTTTTCTTATTTATTTCGTTATATACAAACGTAAATGATATACTATAGATAATACAAGAGAATGCTCTTAATTATGTTATACGAATATCCCGTCTTATATAGGCAAGATGAGAAGGGTAAAGGGGGTTAAATGGACGGTTAGGATCCGTGTAGTTCTATATATTATATCTATACACAAGTTTGCACAGTTGGAACAGGAGAGAGGCAAAACAATAGATGCGGTGAACAGAAGCAAGATGTGGTTGTAGAAAGAAGATAAAAGGTGCTAGGAAGGTAACGTATGGAATCGATTTGAATTTAACGTTTATAAAGCTTCGAATGATAATTCGATCCTAAAGATTCTCTTGTTGTTTTCTCTTTTTCTTATTTATATTGCGTATTATATGTAGCAAAAAGCTGTGAATATTACTTATAACATTAATGAGTATATAATGATTATGAGTATAACGAGGATATAATAATTTGTATAAAATTCAATTGTCGACGTGTTAACATAGAAAATTATTTTGATACTAGGATATTTTTTTAATATTAAATTGTATGAATGTGTTATTAACGTGATAATTTGTATGTTTTATATTTAAATATATTTACGTAGTAATAATCTGACAAAGATTTTTTTTTCTTCGAGGGTGACGTAGCCTCGAACGTGATGTTTTATAAAGTACGTGTTGTTTGTTCGTAGAAAGCTGTAAGCAGGGAGACACCCTTGCAGACTCCGTCCTGTGTCGTTCAATGCAGAAGTCACGAGATAATTGTACATACATACGTGTACGCGTTTTGATATCTATGCTCCGCTCGAGAGAGGAAAAAAGAAAAGACCGTCTAGTGAGTCTCGTGAAAACTATGCTTTCTAAATATTTAGCTACGTATTTATGTTGATTAAAAATTGTACAAGTAATCTGAATATATTCATATAAAGTACTTAGGTAATTCGTACTAATTAAAACTTTTTACTTTTGCAAGTATTTTTATTCATTCTACGTTATTTAATAAATCTAGTTAAAAGAGAGATAGGTTTATAGAATGTTGGAAAAGTAAGCTAGTTGGAAACAAAGCTTTTCAATTAAGAGTATTAGATTGATAGAAATAGGATAAAAATATTTTCGAGTGTTTAGATCGTTTCTCTAACGTTCTAAATGACGATATTGTTCAAGCAAACGTGCTTGAGATAAAATCAGCAGACAAGAGAAAAGCATCTAAGGTCTTTCGATTTTCTCAAGAAAATACACACAATAGTAGTGGAATAAAGGTTTGTTAAAAGATTCTTTACTGATATTCAAGCATTCGTGTTAAATGTTCGAAGTAAGTAATTAATCGTTTAGAAAGTTTCTTTAATTCGCATATGTATAAACTGAAACAGATTTAACTTGTTTCCTACATATATCTTTGTATGATATATAGGTAATTTTTCATAGGATCTTTATAACAATAATTTTACTTTTCATCATGAAATGTATAAACGTACGACAAACGATAATAAATATAGAAAAAATATATATATATTAAAATGTTACGTGTTATAGTTTTTAATTTTAAAAAAAACATTATCACAAATATCTCGAGAGAAAAAACGTGAGAGGTAATAATACGAGATGATAAAAAGTAGGTTGGCAAAGTAAAAAACAGATGTTCGATGTCTCACAAACGAATCGTACTTATGAGATCTCCGATTATCCGTTGACGTTCAGATCTCGACGATTATCTCTCGGTAATCATGAAAGTGACGTTTACGCGGTGCGAAGAGAAAGGGCAAAAGGGAGTCGGTGGTGTGTCGCGTGTATACGCTTGACGCACATGGGATATTTCGAGCGAAAAAGAGAGAGAGAGAATGAAAGGGATAAAGAGAGGGAGAGGGAGAGAGAGAAAGAGAAAGAGAGTGAGAGAGAGAGAGAGAGGGAAGGAGAGAAAAAAGAAACTAGAAGAAGAATTGTACATGGGGTCCCATATATATGCGTTCGGTTTCTGTGGAAGATGAGAGAGCGAGGGAGAAATATAAGAGTGGGGGAAAGAGAAATCCAAAGGAGAACCGCGCGCGGGCAGTGCACGCGCAGCCGCCGGGACGCGCGCATCCCGTGCTGCTTTTGCGCTGTTACGAACGTTACGGAGTAGGAACCCGCGAAATCACGATCCTCACTGCACTGTGCAACGTGCTATCGTCAAGGTGTTTTCTCTAGATAGACCCTAATATATACACGACTTATATACGTGTCCGTTGTTTTATCTTCATTTAATCGTTAACCTGGATATTTTTTATTTTTGGACCCTTCAAAGAAGGATGCCTTTCGTTTAATCATACTCCAAAGATGAAAAATTATTAAATTGTATTGCCTAGTATACGTAGAAAGGAAATATAAATTTATTAACAGCTAGAAGATAGTGTAGGTAAATTATGTATAATAGGAGTGTCAATGATGGAATTTCAATATCGGAGGAGATTAATTGAAAGGGTCGTTTTTTATGCCGAAGAAGATAAATAAAAAAAGAAAAGAAAGATGAATTATTGAAAAGGTTTTCTACGAGATAACGTAAGGTAAAAGGAGAAAATTGTTAGCGTCTATCTGTATTTTTCGCGGGCATATTCGCCACGTGGTGACGTACATATATCAGGCACGTTGCACAGAGCGTCCGTATATTATTTCGGTATCGTTTATGGGTAGAATATACCGTGCAGTGAGTTAATATACCATAGTGTCGCGGCGTCTTGCGCGCGAAAGTTTCACACGTGCTGATCTCGTGTTATTCGTGTTGTTTGGTTATTAGAGTGTTTAATATTATTCCTAGACTTATTTTATTTGTTTCTCTTTCGTTTTCTTTTTTCTATCTTTCCCTCTCTCTATCTTTTTTTTTGTATTTCCCATCGTCTTTGTCTTTCGTTCTTAACCAACTTCTTCGGTCGGAAGCACCGACAGAATTTCGTGGAATTCACGATCGCGAATTCGAGAATGCTCCGGCAAAACCGGTTATCGTGAGACTCGCGAGAAAGAGGACCTCCAGCAAGGAGACTTCGGAGGTGTAGACCGATTGCGAAGGGCAAGATGTCGACAACGAGATACGATCGATTGATCGATACTTGATCAACCATCGATAGTGAACTTCCGGTTGCAAACTGTGTATGCTTCTGCGAAGGGGGACGATTAACTCACCTAGTTTTGGTTTCGTCTTGCTCGATCTAGGATATAATAAGGACAACGACAACGATAACATCGACGACGATGAGCCTTCTTGGAGCTTATTCAAATTTTCCCTACGGTCTGTTCACGATTCTCAAATATTGGTGAGTTCTTTATACGTCAAATATATATATGCGTATTTATTTATTTATTTTTATCTTTTTGTCTCTTATTTTCGATTAGAAAATTTATTTCTGCTTTTAAACGAGAGAAATATCGTGATTTTAATCCATTATAGTTCATCCGCGCACACACATACATACACACACACACGTTGGTGGATTGAGAAAATAATAGCAGCTTTTAGCACTTTAGCACGTTTGCGTGTTCGCGAGTAAGAAATTTCTAATGACTATAAAGCTTTATGGTTATTGGATTGCATCCTTAAAAAGATTCTTCTTTTTCTTTTTTTGTTATTTATTTTTAAGAAAGTATCCATAAATTCCTTAAATGCAATCTTCTTACGTCCGATACTAAAATGTATTTATGGTGATTCGAGTGTTATAACTCGTTAAGCTTTTCTGCACGTACTACTACTTCTTGGTCCGATTTGAAGAATTTCCCAATATGTTTGTGATTTAAACAAGACCCGAGTGATAGACTACTACTTTATCTTAAACATTATACTCGCCGTTAAATATTTATGAACTAACGATCCTTACCTTAAATATGCAAAATAATTCTGCGCTGGCTCCGATGTAAATATACAAACAAAGCGGGAGGGATACGGAAAGAGGATTAGCATATTTCATATCCTTCCGAAGGGATTAATTCGTGAATGTTTTGAAAATGACGGAAAAGGTTTATCGCTCGGAGATAACGAGCCGAAGGACAATCGTGGATACTTTGCGTGAGCAAGTGAGATAGACAGAGACAGACTACTTTATCTTGGCGTCGATATTTCAGGCTCATCTTACCGCTTTCATTCGACCCGTTTAAACGTCAATAGGTCTTTCTCTGTCTCTTCCCTTTTTTTTTTTTATCCCTCTCTCTCTCTCTTTTTCTTTTTCCGATTCTGGCTCTCACGTAGTCATTCGGTCGAGTATACCTTGAAGTGCATTCGTTCGTTCGTTGGCCGGTTCGACTCTTATTCTATGTATTCTTGTCTTTTCTTTTCCCCTCTCAATCTTTCAATTTTTCTCTTTATCATTTATTCGCCTTCCTTATCGCAAGACCATCATTGATATAAGCACGCATTGAATTCGAAATACCAAATGATTCTTTTTATACTCTTAACGATTTCTTTCTAAAATCATTTCATGAGAGTAATTTATGACAGATGTGCGTTAATTGGAGATGTAATTAATTGACAAAGATAAAGGAGAGGGAGACAAAAATGTTTAACCACTTGTACTTCCTCTTTTCAAATACAAAGTTAAAAGATAAACTCGAGGTGTGGGAAAAAAAGAAATGATGAAACCAGTCAGATTATTTCTTTCCCTTAAATATTTTCATATTATAAGCGGATTGAGTTTATTATTGTTTCGATGAAAAAGCTTTTAAGAAAAGCTTTACCACTCTTGCTTATAAATATGAAACGAAATTTTGTATTACTCTATTCGAATAATAATTATAATATCGATGGGAAATACAATTTATAAGCTATTCGAAATAACAGTATGAAAATATGCGATATAAAAAATAATCTAATAATTCGAATCGCGATATAAGTATATACATTTGTAAAAATATATTTTTTTTAATATTTTATTTAGAGGATTTCCAAAAGTACGTTACATTAACTGTAAAACAATATTAGCTCGGTCGAAAAGGCCCGACGATCTTTATAAATAATTACTGGTATATAAAGGCTGTATCACGTAGGGCATAAATAGCGACCAAGGTACAGGTATACGTTGCTCGAATAATGTCGGTGTCTGCTGCAACCAAGAGAGTGGAAACTAGAGAGAAAGAGAGGGAGAAAGAGAGAGAGAGAGAGAGAGGGAGGAAGATTCTGAAAGTTACTAGAAGGGTGAGCGAGAAAGAGACGAGAGGGATATATACATACCTGCAACCTATATGTATAAGGGTAGCTGAGAGATAGATAGATAAAGAGAGATAAAGAGAGAGAGAGAGAGAGAGAGAGAGAGAGAGAGAGAGAGAAATAGAGGATACAAGCAACTGAGAGTTTCATTTTGAACGAGTATTCTCTGCGTCCGAACGACGCGTCCTAATCGGGCAATATTAGCTATTGACTCTGGCTCATGGGGTTTACCAATGGTACTGGTGCTGACCACCCGACTGAACGAACGACGGCGACGAGAGCTTTTCGATTCGATCCTGTTGAGAATCTAACTGTTCGTAAATCCGTTCTTCATCTAAACTTGATTAACTTTTTAACTAATTATTATTTTCGACGAACTTACACTTATTTTTTTTCGTATTATAAGTCTTTCTGTATCTCACATGCATATTTGTACCTTGTTATTTTGTAGGGATTGAAACAGTATTTTGTTCGAAGGATAAGAGAAGGAATAATTGGAATAGTCAAAGCTTTGAAATATTTCGCGTATCAGAAATCGAATATTTGTTTTTTTGAAATTTCATTATTTTCAGTTTAGAGAAGTTAATGGTTGTAGTGTTTACTGAAAACTCGATTTTCCGAATGCGTGGAATCAAATTCGCCGTCGTTCGATTTGCGGTCTTTGATGGTTATCCGAGTGTTCAATGTGCGAACGAAAGAAATTTGATTTCATGGATAAAAAAAGCCTGCATGAGTTTGCTTGTACCCAATAATATGTTCACCATGAATAAATTCTAGCATTATCGACAAGGTTGTGTCAGAGTTGCTGTTTTAAGTAATTTATGTACATCTTCATTGGACCGTATTTATAATATGGAATTTTATTAAATATCTTTTTCTGTCCAAAATGTTATGTATATTTGTCCCCATTTTATGTTTTTCAAAATGTAATAAATATAATAATATCATATTATAAAATTCAACGTTGTAAAAGAGTAATGAAATAGACAGACATTGCATGCGTTCTGTTCATATGATGTATTATAACAACTGTTGAAAATTTCATTAGAGTTAAACGAGTATATACATAAATATATATATATATATATTTGTAAAATACCCAGTATATCTGTTCTTGCGTGGAAAACATTGATAATGTCACGTTCTAATGATTTCAAGCCACTAATGCGACCGAATCTTTCGAACACTTTGAATTTCACATGCGATCACCGGCAGAGAATAACTCGAATCATATTATGCGTATTAATACGCGAACGCACGAGGAGAATACACATTGACCCGAGCGGAAACGAGAAACGAACAACAAACGAACGGGCTTACCGTAATTCGATCGTCCAATTTGCACGAGCATCCCGAAGGCGAAAGATGCACACACGCGTCAGCCAAACCGATAGAATCACCCCCTGGCGATGTTCCCTTTCTCTTTCTCTCTCTCCTTCTCTGTCTCTCTTTCTCTTTCTCTTTCATGTACTTGGTAATTATTCATTTTCCTACGTGTAATTTGATTGAATTTAATTGCAAACAATGGCGCGTTTGTGGCATTCGCCGCATGTAACAACGTGTGCTTGCTCCTACTGGGTACACACATTTATGGATATTACTGCTCTGGGCTAACGCAAACTATGATTTAATCTTCGCCGACGACAATAAACTTCCCTTTCCTGATATCCCTTTCTGTGAGATTGGCTTATAGATTATAGACACCTGTATCGTTGTCTCATTTCACTAGTTATATGTACTATAATAACAGACATAACGTAGGATGATATAAGTTAGCCGAATTTCACGTTTTTCAGGCATTTATTTGAATTCTTTGATACTTGAGTTCTTTTCTTTTTGTCAGGTTTATGTTAAATTCGCGATGATGTCATACGCAAACAATCAATTCTGTTGTTTTCATGGAAATTTAGCCATGAAACGTATTGCAAATTTGTATACAGAGATTTGAACGTGCGCGTATATTTGATAGATTTTTCTCATATCCTTTGGAATTCTATTGATAAAAATCTCGTGTATCAAAATGAAATGGTCTCGTAGAATCTCATTGAATCCAATTACGTTTCATATCTTTTATCGATCGATCGAACGTTCAACGAAGAAGATAAAGGAATTTCGGATAAAAGCGATCACTATTTTTATCGAAAAGAAAGAAGAATATACAGGTTAGATAAAGTGGGATGGTAAATAAGGATGGGAAAGGGGTGAGCCTCAAAAAACAAATAATACGACAATCGTTGTTTGATCTTTGCTGTTGCTTTTTCGTCAAACAATAACTCTCTATAACTTTTTTCTCTCTTTATCTCATTCTTTCGAACGGTGGCGTTGCTTTAGCCAATGCTTTTCAACGAGACCACGGAATTCACACGCACAAAAACACATACACGCATAAAATACACATAGAATACTTCCATGGTTACATATATACGGTACTCATGTATCGCAATTTTTGCACGAGTCGCGTCAGGGTGTCATCGATTATCGGTTTAATTTCAAATTTCGTGTTTCGAACGAAATCATGGCCGATTACCCGCATCGTCGACTGTAATTACTGTGATGGCGATGGTACTGTTGGCGTACCTCCGCGTTGCGTCGTTAAATTAATCTGCCTCGCGTTATCGATATATTGTCGACACCGTGAAACTCGCACGTGTCTGCTTTCTCTCACTCAGCTTTTTTCGACATTGACAGCCTGATTATCCGATACTGTGAATAACAATATCTATTGAAACTTATACTGCGTTTCTTTGTACGATATACGGGTAGAGAAAGAAAGAAAGAAAGAAAGAAAGAAAGAGAGAATTAATATTGAAATATTCTGAAATATGAGAGATTCATTAAGGATTACTGGTGAGAATCGAGAAGACGAGGAATTAGCAGTCGCGAAGAATAAGATAGAAAAAAAATTGTGTGAAGGGGAAGGAAGAGGTGAAATAAAGTAAGGAACAAAAATTCATTGGAGATATTCGAGTTAAGCTCGCATAACATCGGCTTCTGGTACTTTTTCGTCTGTCGTCGAATGAAATTTCTACGATAAATTCGTTGTTGGTAGCACGGTGGATGATGAAGAAACACTGCAAGTCATCGACCTCGAGCTATTTTGCGAAAGATTACGTTTGTTTA